GAGCGAACACGTTGTCCACATATTTATCGATCGATCAGAAAACTTTCAAACCCCCGCACGACTCGTATAGAACGCTTGCTACCAGCACTGGGTGAACGAAGGATTGGGCACGAAGTCAAGTCAAAGTCTGTGATGGCAAGCAACGCTTTACGCCTCCCCCGCACATCAACAATGTTGAACTTTTAGTAATTTACTAACTTGTAGAGAGGGCATATATAACACGAATTGCGATTAACAAAAGCACTAATAGAAAATAAACTCTTTACTGTAATAAATGAGGACAGAATTCAATACAACAGTCCTTCACTGGGATGGGTGACAATTGTCTTACGACGAACCAGTAGCCGACAAATGTATGCAATTGCACTGTTCCTATATGTGGAAGAACGCGCAGGAGGGAATTGCAATTCGGAGCGAGTTCGGGAATTCAATACGACTTTCTCGGTGCAAACAATACCCTTATCACGTGCTGCCATATCATTTCATGGACTAACTGTGATATTGTGATTCTTCATCCGAACCCATGTGTAAACACCCTATGGGATTTGTAAAAGCGAAGTCTTTGTGAGTTATATCCCATAATAAAAATTTGATTTGATACATGTATCACAGAAGTCAAAACCCTTGCAAATAAAAAACTCCACCAAAAAAACTCTATCAACTGCTTTATAGCTCAAAATAGCCTAAGGGATCTGGAAAAAGGAAGTGAAATTTTGTTTTTCTCAACCAGGGATTAAGAGTAAGGAACAATCTAGCCAGCGTGGAACAATGTAGGTTGAAATGCATTGACTACGGCCAGTCGTGACGAGCTTCTAAACGCGTCACTTAACTCGCAAATAACCAAGTTACTACTTTCTTTTATAACACACATGCTGTTCAGTGATGAACACCAGTAACCTAAGCCCGGGTACCTGGAGTGGCAAACCACATAAGGCCCCGACAGGTTAGACGTAGTATTGAACCGGACAACAGCAGGTTAAACCAGAAGCCTTATGGTTGTGGCGGACGCGTATTAAAGTACCGTGGCACAGGAAATGAATCGGTTCCCAGATTTAGATAACCATTGGTAGAAAAGGTATTTAGAAGACGATAAAACGGTTTACCTTAGGGTGATGTTCTTCGTGTACTTTGTCTTTATCTTTCTTCGGAATTAGCTTGGACCGGGCTAACCTCCAGTAAAAAGGGATCCTTTCAGATAAAAATACTCATACTGAAAA